AATTCCGGGTTCTGTCGAATAGTTTGATTATTATTATTTTTTCTGCAACTACCATCACATCGTATTTAATATTTATCAATACATAGAGAACTTTCTCTGGTACATTTTTTAAGTACTTTTCGTGTGCTTATTATTTGATTTTTCGTTGGAAAAAAAAAAGATAAACGCGTTAATATATATACATATGGGGCCTGAATTAGCTGTTCAAATTATTTCAATTCATAAATTCATTAAAAAAAATCCCAAAACTCGCCCGTTCGTCTGACACTCATTGCATGCAATTCGGCGATTTCCCAACAACATTTCTAATTAAAATAAAAATAAAAATATCATATGATTTAGAAAAATATCGTTCTATATACTTTGAAAATTTTGAGATGCGTACAGTGATCTAAACTGCTCTGCGACTGCGGCCTCCTCGATTATTCAATTACCACGTAATGTGATTTTTCTTTTACGTTTAAACTCAAAAAACAACATCATTTTTTACCTCTTATTATAAAGAAATCGTGATATTTTATATCGATTTTTTTTATATATGATAAGGATAGAATTTATTCGTCTTTAAGCATGAAACACATAGTGAAAGAAGCACCCGAACAAATCAAGAATCTATAGGATTCAAATAAACCATATGCAATTTAATCCACGAAAATATATAGCTATAAATACAACACGAGTTTCCAGCCAAGGAGATGTCAAAAGGGTTGAACAAGACATGGCAAAAGTTGTCGGGGTGAAAGAGAATCGGGTCAAGAAGAGTAACATGGCATTCATGTGCTCGACCCGAACCCCATTGTCACAATCAACCAATGAGGAATTGAACATAAATCATAAGGATAATAAAAATTTGAAAAAATAAAACAAAAGGGTACTCGATTGATTTGATTTCTCGTCCAATAGATCTCAAGGGAAATACACCTAAGAGAATTTAAATATATATGGACCCTTGAAAATATACATCCTAATGTCCCTCTCGTGTTTCCATCACGTATTTCTCATATCTATTCTCCGTCACAGAACATGCAAACCAACTACTCACGCAAACTATACGTACGTCCACAATATGTTTCTGTTCCTATCTGTTCTCATCTCTTTAAAAAAAAAATTATACGTCGATTTTGCCCTAACCGATTCTAAATCGTAGCTTTCAGTCCATATCCAATGTTAGATTCATCGAGAATAGGTTAAACCAACATTAATATTAAGTACTATTGGTTATAGTTTTAAAGAAACATACAATAGCCGATACCGCAATCTCGAAACTTACTTAGTGTCGGTTTCGGAACCGGAGCAAGTTGAACTTGAAGAGAAAAAATGTCACAAACTGGTCGTATAATTGATGTGATACGTCTTGTTCCAATCAACATCTTATTGAAAATCTACTTATAGAAGTAGCGGAAATTAATGCATCTTTTATTTTCTCTAGTGACATTAATTATTCATGGCATGGATGGGGTGGATCTTTGGTAAACATAAAAATTATCAAACCGATCTGTACATGGTGAATACCTTATACCAAAATAAAAATATCGAACCGATCTATAATGCGGTTGATCCAATCGTATCGAAAATTTGTTTCAAGAACTTGAGCGTTTGGAAAGCGTGGTTCCAATTTAAGGCAGAATCTAAAGAGTGGACGCGAGACAAGAGCATGCACGGGCGACTCTAACTCTTGGTCCATAACAAGAACAGAATCCAAAAGTATGAAGACATTTCCTCAAAAAATTATACATGAAAGACAAAAAGAAGGTTACATATTTGCCACAACGGGAGATATATGCACAGATATGTATACCATATCAATATATATATACAACTTTTTTAATGTCTTTGTAAAAATGGATGTAACATATACTCAAAAAGTGTAAAAAGATAGAGGAGGGCCATTCACATTTGGAGAAGAGTTTTAAATCGAAGCATTACATTCGGTAGTTTTGTATTTTGTATTGTTACGGCAAATTGGTGGTGGTGGTGGTGGTGGTTTGAACAGGACCACATGTGCATCTCTCTCTCTCTCTCTCTCTCTCTCTCTCTATATATATATATATATATATATACACACACACACGCAAACACTTTTGAACTATATTTTCTTGTACCACAAAACACAATGGACCGTACCCTATAACATATTATTGAATGAGTTGGCTAACCTTTCTTTCCTCAATAATAAACCTCAATGTGAAATCAAACATTTTTTTCTTACAAATCAAACTAGATACCGTGCATATAATATTTCTTAGATATTAAATCCGATCGAATGATTTATATATCATATAATGTTTTAGAATATATATATATATATATATTACACGTCTTCTCCAATTTTTTTTTCTATGAGTCATTTTAGGAATGTGTAATTTTTGTGTTAATAATCATGATAGGTGCTTATGAAACGAGTTTCACAATCTACTGTAATTCTAAAAGTTAATCATGGTCCAAATAACTTGCGGATTCGAAATAAATTAAGCCGATTTGTAATATATAAAGATTCTATATATGCATGATACTTTTTGTCAATATATCTTTTTCAATAAATTAAAAATTGTAGGTTTTATATATTAAAGTAATTATCGAATAATTCAATACTGTCGACACTTTATTGTGACGGTTGATTAGGACAAATCAAATTAGACCTAATTATGATAGGTAGCTCCTAATTAACGCATGGTGGTGTGGGCTCCCAAGACAAATGCATATGGGATTGAAGACAAAAGCATATTCTTAAGATTTCAATCAGATCATTAGATTATATAATAAAATATAGTATATAAAAGATATTTCAATTTCGATTAGAATACAAGTTACCCCTTAACGGTTAACTGAAGGGTTTGACCAAGTCAACCGAATCGACAATGGCATAGGTTTATTTGTATATTTTAGTTCACGTTTTCCATTTAATTTAAAATTCCAGTTCCCCATAAAATCATCAAAACAATGTACATAGTACGACATAAGAAACTGAATGGTAGGTATACATTACGCGAAAAATGGAAATTATGTGGCAATATTTTGAAGTGTACTTTTGTAAAAAAAAATGTTGATATATTTATATAAAATGTATATTTATTTGGGTTTTTTTTTAATTTTATCAAATTTTCATATAAAAATTGTTTTTTCCACAAAATGATCAACCATTTCCTAAATTCCTATGCGTCTGGTCAAAGATTGTATGTATCGGGAATCGAGGAGATGAAAGGGTTTCTTAATTACGAATCTCAGAATAATAATAACAGTAAAAATCTTATGGTCTAAATTACCATGGTTGCCATTCACACACACACATATATATATATATATATATATATATATATATATATATATATAACATCTAAAGCCGATTTAAAGCTTATACAATTTCATTCCTTCCTTTTTTTTTTCTTGAAAAGTGGGTGAAGCTGTGGATATTAACTACAGCAACCTACCGTTGGCAAAATAAAACGTAATGTACAAAATAAAAAGTGCATTTAATTTAAAAAAGGAATAAAAATATTAAATAAAAGGGAGAAGAAGAAAAAGATCTGCAGAAGAGCAGGAGGAACCACATGGGTGTCTGAAAATAAAATAAAAAATAAGATGGGAAAATGGTTTTGTTGGGATGTGTCACAAGCCTCGTCAAATTTGACTAAGCTCCAAATCTCCTCTCCAGCTTTGTACTCTTCAGTACCATTACTCATTCCAAAGTCCGTGATTTACGGTCTCCACGGCGACTGTCCATTTTTTTTTTGTTTCTTTTTTTTTTTCCGTTTCAAATGTTTGAATTTATTTTTTGTAAATGCAAAATAAAAAGAGTTTTTTTTTTTTTTGGGGGGGGGGGGGGGGGGG